CAGATTCAGCTGCTCTGCTTTGCCTTGACATAAAGTGTTGGAACCAAAGGGACTTGGAGCTGGGAGCAGGTGTGTTCTGAGACAGCAGGCTGGAGGCTGTGTGCTGGTCTGATACAATCACACAACGTAATGACACGTCCGGGTACTGTATTGTTTGGAAATAATGGAGCCATACGAAATAAAGGGTTATTTTGCAAAACTGCATACTTGATAACTTTCACACTTCTTTTTTTTTTTTTTATTTAAGAACAACAATTGGAAGAGTGAAACCAAAACTATTCTTCTCTGATTTTCAAAGTCTGTGTACATTATGAACACTTCTGAGCAATTTCACTTTTTCTGTGCAAAAGCTGTGGACTCTCTGCCTGGATGCAGAAAGGATTTAAAAGGATTCTGTGTATTTTGAAGTTAAATCTTTGACTTAAGCATTGGATAATGAAGTTTAGTTATACATTGAACAACTGTCCTCTTACAGGGAGTGAGTTCTTGCAAAGTTTCTCTACACTGCTGTTTGTATTGTATGATAAAAGCTAGTTTTCTTGATAGCATTTATGTTAGCATCCAGTTTTCTCCTTCCCCTGTGTTAGCCTCGCTGTGCTCTGTATGACAGATGGGTGCAGTTACTCTGTGATTGTGCAGAGGGCTGTTGTGGTTGGATTCATTGTACTTGAATTATTTCATCCGATTTTTTTATCAAGTATTTCCAACCGCCAAGATGTCTTTCAGAACTGCAGGCAGATACCAGAAGAAGCATTTCTCTTCAGAAACTATTAGGTGTCATTTTCCCCTTTTTTTTTGAGGGGTGGTGGGGGTGGTGACAAAATAAAATTGATTTTTTTTTTTTTTTTCAAGGTTACTTCACGTGCTTCTAATCCCTAATAGCAGAGATGATTTTGTTTGAGGGTTGTATTTGTTGTGCTTGTATCTAATAGATGCAGTCTATTGTCTCTATTGTGCTTGCCATGAAGACTACAAATATTGAGGAAAAAACAGTTCACCGTGCAACTGAGCATTAAGTGACAGCATTGGTTATGGAGCTCTGGAAAGAACAAACAGAAGAACCTCTCTGTGCCAGCAGTGCTGTAAGGGGAGGAGTGGAGCAGCAGTTCGGAGGAAGCAATTCCTGCAGCGCTTCTCTGCTCGAGTACCTGCTGGAAACTGTGGCTGCTCCGCCTGCAGTTTCTGCACAGGATTTCAATGATTCCCCTCAAAGTTCCTAAGAGTTCAGGGGGTTCTGGGAGCAGAACCCAGGTCCCCGCTGACCTCAGGCTGCTGCCACCTAGGAGAGATGGGAGTCCGACCTTGTGAGCAAGGCCACAGCCGTTTGGCAGACGCGCGCATTATCTAACAGCGCAGTCTGCTCTTGAACGGCTTCAGCTGGGCGAAGCAGCGCGCACTGGGACAGCCCCGTCCGTTCTGCAGCCCTGACACAGCGCTCACTTGCCCTGTGCAGCATCACCTGTCGGCATGAGATGTAACTCAGCAAGGGACTCCTCAGAGCACAGGAGGGTGTCTTGCCAGTGGCGATGGCTGAAGCTCCATCTACCTCTTTGTTTCCCTGCTGGGCTTTGTGCTCTTCTTTTTGTGGTGTTTTCCTGTGAGGGGTGGGGGAGCTGGGGAGGAAAAACCTGAAGTCTAAATGAAGACGCAGGTGGGAGAGCCCTGCTTACCGGCTGTGTCATCGTTCTGAGAAGACACTGTTGGAAATCCATTCCTGCGTCATAGTAAAAGTTTGTTAAAAAAATCTTTCCTGCTGGGAAGAAAAAAACTTATTTTTAAAAAGGAAAAAGTCCTTTTGGCTACGGGAATGTCAGCTGTGTGAGTTATGACCATATCATGACATGCTGATCAGACATAAATAAATTTTTATCTCTCAGGACTGCATCGTGTATTCTTTTCTGTTGGCTGCCACATGGCTTTCGGTTTGTTGGTTTTGATTTAAATATTACTAATTTCAGCTAAAGCAGATAAAGGTGCACGGATGTCTTGTCATGTATGCATGTATAGAGAGAAACATATCTCACTGATTTTAAAATAAGGTAACCACAAAATGTTTTCAAAGGCTACGTTAGCTCAGGGCACAGAGAACTGATGTATTTAATTCCAGTGCCAGGTGCTTCTTCCCATCCTTCTCAGCTCAGGTGGCTGTCAGAAAGCACGTGTGGTCAGTCCCTGTGGCATACAGAGCGAGTGCCAGAATTGAGCTGATTTACCAGAGGCCATCCACTAGCAAACAGGGCAGAGTAATGGTCAGAGCTGTGAGAATGGTGCTCGCAGAGCTGGGAGTGTGATAGTGGATAAATATGGGCTACATGCTGTAGTTTTTTATGGTTTTTTTTTTGTTGTTTGTTTGTTTAATTGATCACTGTATCCCCTTTTATGGAAGAAAAAAGGTTTTTGTTTACACTTTTGTATAGGTAGAATCCACTGATACTTAGTTTTTCAGAATATGCTTAGATTCTCTGGAGCCTAAGGAAAAGCGCTCTGGTTTGGTTTGTCCTGACGTTCTGTTTCTGTACTGAGTCAGCTGGTTGGTTTGGTTAAGACTTCTCTGTGAGACTGGAGCAGTGATCCATTGGGATCTTCAGAGCAGCTTGTGCCAGTATCTAACACTACTGAATAAAGTTTTATTAATAACTTTAAAATTAATTTTAAGTATTACTGTAGAAGTGTTAAAAAATGGCATAAATACGTTGATCCATGAGTGCTAAAGATGGGAAGGAGCTTGTTGACTTATGATGAACAGATCTTAAAATTTGCATTGGGAAACTGGGAAAATTAAAAAAAAAAAATAGTGCATGTTGTGACAGTGTTAATTAGCATTAATTAAGATAAAGCTTTCTGCCCGTGCAATGTGTAAATAACAGACCACCCTCAGTAATGCTGGTCAGCTTTGCTTTGGGAAAATGCAGCAATGCTTTGCTTTGCTAACCAAAATTGTAATGCTAGATTTGAGAGATGGCAAATTCAGCTTATCATTGTGTGACAGAATAATGCAGTTAAGATTTTGTAATCTCACTTGAGAATCTGAAGGAGAAAATCTGTAAAATTTCTGGCAAATAAATGTTCTTTCATTTCTGTTGAAATGGGAAGAACGTTTCCTATTGACTTTGTTCCTTAAAGTTTTAGCTGGTGGATTTTGTTTCTGCAGCCATTGCCCTGCAGTAACACTAACATGGTACGGTACGTGTTTTACATTTGCACTGTAATTGTTACTTAACCTTGAGAAAAGCAGCATTTGGCAGACAGCTCAGTGTATCCCAAATCAAGAGAAGACTACATGTGGAAGAACAGTCCCTGAAGGTGGCCTCTAATACCTGTTACTGTTACTGTGTGGTACCTGCACAAGTTCAGTTGTGCTGAGAAAAGGACTCCAGAGTCAGTTTATTCTACAAAGATAATGTGGGGGAAAAAAGAAAAAAGAAGAAAATAAAAAGCTGTTTTAAGGGAATAAAGAAGTCTACTCCATTTATTCTATCACAAAGAAAGTTAAACACTACGTGCAAGCCCTCTGCAGTTAGTTTCCATCACTGACTACAGTCTTGAAGAAAAGATGAAAGATGCTGCAGCTCTGTGCAGAAGAAACGGCCCTAAGGGGTTGTATTTGCTCCTTTACTCTTGAAGTTAAAACTGGCATCTTAAAAACTTTGCTGTGGAGCTGAGACAGAAGTAGGTGCTGTTTAACCAAATTACGCAGGGAGGTTGTGACCGACATGATGCAGGTAACAGACCAGATGTTATCCTGATTGGCTTTTGGTCTGACCGTCTACAAATCTTGCTGTTTTACTAGTAATTATATGGCCAATTTTTTATTCTTTAATTTTTCAATGCAATGATTCTGCCCTGGACTTATTAAGATCCTGAACTGCAAAATATAGCAACAAATAAAATACTATTTTTTTCAGACCATTCAGTAACTTTCATATCTGGAGTAACTCTTCAAATGCCTGCCTTCATTATGTAAATATAGACCACAGACGCTGCCTGTGAGTCAGGTCCCAGATATGCCCAAGCCACTATCTTCACCAAGAATAGCTGTTCTCAGAGCCTCAGGGCAAACTGCAAGGATCTTTGCGTGGATGAGTGTCAAGTAACCTTATACATAGGGTCATTTCTTTCCAACCTTCCCATTAGAAGCTGGCTTATGTCCTGCCCTACTGAAACTTGTATCCCTATTTTGTTTTCCTTGCAGTCTGCCTCCTTAGTGTCCTATTTTGTAGTCCTGACACATCTTTGTGCCTGAGGAGGTGGACGGGTACTGCAGGCTGCCTACAGGGTTCTTTTAAGAGTTTGTTTTGAGAGAAAGCTTCTTTAGTTCTAAATGCTCTGACTTCACACTAGCTGTGCCTTTCCTCTTGTGTTAATGAGTAGTTTAAAAACAAATAAAATCCCAATTTGTTTTTTTTTCTGCTTGTCTTCCTTAGCTTTATATAGCCCTGTCAATTCTGCAATGACTGAGGACTTCTCTGAGCTATTTAAATTTCTGTTCTCATTCCTGTAGGTTCATCACCTGCACACTTACATTCCTTCTGCTTTTTATTATAACATTCAGAGAATTGATTGGCCTGTCAGCATAATTTATTTAAGTATTCATTTAAATACAGCTTGACAGTGAGTTTAGATTTTGTAATGGATTTACCATTAGTGATCTCCTGGCTTCAGTGAAACTTACATAAATCAAACAGTAAATGTTAGCACCTACAGCAAAAACATCTACTGCCAATAGCAATTATCCCCCACATTAAAATACTGTCTTCCTACAGCGTCTATGAAATTTGGTCTCTGGTTTTAACTTGTGGCCCTTTAGTTGACCACGTGAAATAAATCCAAAATATTGAGCCAAGCCCAAGGGTAAAGATGTGACAAAAATACCTATTACTTTGCAAAAAGTTCTTGGTGCTTACTTTCTGATGTGCCCATTTCTCTCTCCAGCACTTGGTTATGAAAGGAAGTGTGATATATGCTGCATCAGGCAGCACAGCAGACCTGAGCATAGTAAGGATAGATATCACAAGGTCAGGAGTGCCAGTTGCACTGATTAGTGCAATCCTGACTAAGAACAGTTACATGACTTTATGTTTATTGAGTACAAGGATTATGGGAATTTAGATGGAACAATTACCTATTTTTATCTTGGATGTTGTAAGAAGATGAGTCAGAAATAAACTGTATAGAAAGAAAGGCGAGTGCTGTAGCTAAATGAATAAAACTGCAGGCACAAGAAGTTCCTTGCATTGCAGCACTGGATGAATACTTGAAGTATTGAGGTTATAGCAATAACCCTTTGCTTTTAGAGGCACGCATTACGATGACAAGGTAATGTAAAGTGTGGCACCCACCTAGGCAATTTAGTACAGCAAGGCATTTTTTTACTCCAGCAAATCAGGAGGAAAACAAAATATGTTTTGCAAACAGTTAATTGTACTTGTTTCTTCCAACATCATAAGATAGGAGATGTTACTTTCGGAGCTGCCCTTCTAATTACTGTCTGTGGCATTAAATTAAAGACGACTCCGAGGCAGCACCACATGGCAGCTTCATAGACTACAGGCTTAAAGTAAATCAGAACAAACAGCAGCAAAGGAAAAACACAGGAGAAGCGCCTGGTGAGCTCACCAGTGAAGACTGAGGGACAAGTACTCAATAACTGCTTTTATGGGGGCTTGTGGCCTACTGAGAAGCAAATTAAATGCTGTGCCCTGCCCTCTTGAACTGTTCTTTGCCAGGGGATCCATCGTGTTTCTATTACAATGGCTCTCTTGCTGCCTTTTACCCTTTTCTGATAGAAGCACCTTACTTCAATCTTGTTCTTTCCACAAATCTGAAGAAAAATAATTACTTGACTGAAGTAGTTGATGTCAAAGACAGGAAGCAGCTTTGTGGAGATAATTATGTACAAGCTTACAGAGGTTTAGTTTAACTGTCTCAGGCATGTGTAAGCACTTTTCTTTTGCTCTGAAATCTTTACTTGAATGGGTACTACTGCAGAGGACTGCACACGGACCAATTTGTCCCTCTTCTCTCCTGCATTTATCACTGCAGATGGGATGCTGTACGTTCAGAGTTGTCATAATGCTGTAATAGCCTGCTCTAACAAATTCTATCAAGCTTTGAAAACAGATGAGTGTAAGAGAACCAGCGATGTTCTCATTCTTCCTTTTAGGGGGAAAGAGAAGAAATGTCCTTAGAAATATCAGGCCACCTGCTCCTTGGCCCCATTTTCATATCTCTGATGCAGCATGTAAAGAGGAACATTGATCCCCATTGATACAACTGTATGCCTCTCATCCTTGTTGACTAATGCATGCCAATAGATAGTGTGGATGAAGCATCGTTATGTAATGGTGCTTGTTGCAGGCAGTGAACCTCTCATGACATAACAGATCCTGTACTAAAGACAGAAGCAGCTTTATCCTAAGTATTATTGCTAATGTGAATAGACCTAAACATGAGCAGATGCACTTCAGCTACGTGAAATGTTACGACACTGTGCCATTAATAATTTTCAGTTTAAAAAACAAGTATATATTATTTCTTTATAGAGAAAAAGTAGATCTTTGTGTTTTGAAGATTTTGTAGTTTAATATCTGTGATGTTGTAAAGTCCAAACTAGGTAACTGTAAGATGTATGCTCAGCATCATATTTTGACCTTGATTACTCAGACCTCAATTACTCAACCTTTCCAGTTATTATAAAAGAGGTCAGGTCCTCTCATGTCTACTGATTAGAATTATAAATGAAAATGTTCCAAATTTATCTGAAATCTGAAAACATATTCAGTGTGCCTGCAGAGAGAAGGAGACAAAAAAACACAAAGGGGGATGGGAAGGGCAGAGTTCATTAGAATACCACTGATTTTGACACTGAAATCTTGGAGGCCTATACGCTATTTATAGTGACACATGAAGCCTTGTGGTCAAGGTGGCCTGACAGTGGGAGAGACTTGGAAGCCATGCCCTCTGGCCTGCTGCCTGACTTTGCCTCCCTGTGCTTTCATTTTCTGCACTGAGTAGTAATGACAAAAGCCCTACGTCCGTCAAACCAAGCCATCATTTCCTGCCAACACAACACACTGAGCTAGCTTGTGGAGGGATTAACCACCAGTTTCTGTCATTCTGTCTAAAGTGAAGCTACAGAGATCAGCCAACAGGCCTGTGTTTCTCAAGGGATGTGACCAGTGCCACTTTCACCTCAGGAACGGAGGACAAAGGCTGACAACAAAAGTGACTTTAAATTACACTCCTACTCCTGCATTTCTGAATTAAGTTATTGCTCACATCCAGCTGGACACACTAACCTGTCACTTAACCTACATAAACGTTTGTATGTTGACTGATGTGCACTGAAACAACTAACTTCTTTATAGCTATGGCACAGTCATGGTAACGCTGCTCTCTTTTGAGACAGGTCTCTACACAGACCTGTTGGCCATCGTGGGTCTCCCTGTTACTGTAGGTATAAGTATAATCTCGCTATTAAAATTCTGTTAGTAGCACTGGAGAACAAAATTGAACTTACCTATGGCCTTTATGTCAATGCTAACATGGTAAGCACAAGTGCATTACGCTATCATCCTCGTAAGCATTGAGACCCTTTAAAACAGCTACACTTGGACTGTGTGCAGTTGACCAAGCAACAGGATTTTTTCGTGCCTTCAATTTTTTCAGCAGCCTGTGGCTTAAGGGAAAACTGATCTTAGGACTGAATAGCTACATTCAATTGTAACAAAGGATAGTGCTAAAATTAGAAAAAAAGTAGCTTGCTTTTATATGGCATTTTAAATCACTAAACTTTCAGACATTACACTCTCCATCCACTTCTTCATATTAGCAACTTACAAGGAAATATTCTGTAGGAATTTTGGATTATCCCATATTCAAAAGATTTAAATTCTAGAATTATCATATTAAGATACGTGACTATTAATTACTTATCTAGTATTATCTAGTAGGCATTAAAATAATTTGGCCCTGTCGTAACAACATAAGGAAATTACCTTTAATGCCTTTAGAATATTGTATTACATTTAATTGCCATAAAACAGAAGGTTGTCTGGGAGTCTTAATGTAGCATTTCCAACCCACACAATGGGGATGGGGAAGCATTCCCAGCTTCCTAAAGAAATACGACCTTTGTTGTTGAGCCATCTGTTGTTACCCTGCCCCATAGCTTTCAGGCCTACTGGCCATATTCTGTTACATTTAGATCAGGTAGAAGAGTCAAGTGTGAAAGTAAGAGGGGTATTTTATTGAAAAAATTGGTAGCTGTTTGGGGGACAGACTCTCCAGCTTACTGAGCAACATGAGAAAAAAAAACTCCATACAGACATTTTACAGAACTTGGTCAGCTGGGCGATGTGTGGATGGCTGCACAGTCACTGCAGCACGAGCTGTCTGTGCCCAGCGGGCATTTCAGGGGAACATGCAGCACAGCTACTGTTACACAGCAGGAAGCAGAGTATAGGCAAAGTACAAGAATCTGTAGGACTCCAGCATTCACCAGCTTTGTTGTCCGTGCAAAATGAACGCTGAACATATTTATCTTCTACACTTCTTTGAGCAGTAATTCTTGGCTTGGAAGTGTCTAAGAGAGTTAACAATGAAAGCATCTTGCTTTTCTGTACTGCAACCCACCGAAAGATCCAAATGTTAATCTCCTTTGAAGTTTGTATCAGTGCTCATTTTATCCCGAGGATACAGAAGTGACACACAGCCACTCTGTCCATAGGATAAGGAACACGCAAGGTTTTGGTAAAGAAGAGTTTCATCCCTTTCAGCTCAGCATGTGTGTAACTGGCTTTCCTGTTGGCTTCGTCTAGAGAAAAGGGAGGGTGACTATGTTCTGATTTTAGTCCACTGAAACAATTTATACCCAGAAATAGCAAATACATTACTGTTGTTCATTAGATCATGCAGGTGAAGCTATTTTTCTCATAAAAGTGCATGGAAGGCCCCCAAAATTGTCTTGTTTTCTGAAGTTTTTCAAGTATCTGACTAAAAATGATCTTCATAGAAGATGCACTTTTTTATGTAATCACACAACTGCCTGTTAAAATAAGCCTACACTAGCTATTCAGAGTGAAGTTAGAGATGAAGCACCTATTGACTTAAATAAGGCTGAGACTTGATGTTAATATTTAGTACAGGATTAAGTTCAGCTGTGAAGGTACTAAAAGTTAAGGAAATTTCTTCTACCTGCCAGATAAACCTGGCTGAGCTGTGGGCAAAAACTGTGATAGTAAAAACTTTAATGGTAAAATGTCTTCTGATCTAGCAAGACTACTGGGGCAATGGGTTAGGAACAGACTGGACCCAGCCACATTCTCCCCAACTTTTTCACTTGCCTCTCCCCTGCTTGTAATGCCTGCCCTCACACATCTTCAAATTCTTGTTATGTTTGGGTTTCTTCAGTAATCAGCTCCAGCCAAGTGTCTTTAGCTTGCATCTACACAGGAAGGCTGTAAAATCATTATGGCAAGTTGGGGTTAAAGAGAGACCATATCTGAGAAACTGGCAGTGAGCCCAGAGCAGCTCTGTGCTATGATTTCTGTGGGTACTGGTAGAAGAAGAACAAACCTCTGCTGAGAAGGTGTATCTGGTAGGTAGGAATTATTGCTAGTAGTGGCTGTCTTTAGGGCTGCCTTGGCTTCAATGCTATTCATTCTGTTTTTCTTAGCTAGGTACAGAGAATGCATCCTTTAATCACCAGTTTGTTCTGGGCATTGTTAGTGGAAAAAGACCCAGGAAGTTTCCTACCTGTTTACTGGTGGAAACAGCCCTGGATGTCCTGTGACTTACCAAGGTGTGAGACCACGCTATTTCCAAAAACATGTGACCAAAATTGTTCTGATCCTATCCTGGTCTTTGTAGAAGAATGCATTTTGTACACCCATCCTCATTCATTTCTCTCTCCAAGCTTGAGCTGCAGTTTTCTGTGGGACTTCAGGACTCTTGTACCCACGTAGGCTGCCCAAACCAAAGCTGCTGCTCTCCCTGAGCAGTGTATGAGTGTGCCTTGCCTGTATACAAGCCTGTCTGCTGTTCAGCAATTCCTTGTAACACCAAAACTTGGGGGTGGGGGTGAAATAAGGACAGGATGGCAATGTTCATAGCAGAAATACCTCACAGTAATACTTGTCATCTCCATTACTGTCAAATTAATTCTGAATTGTTGCACATCATACACTGTTTAGCTTGAGGAAAGTGAAATGGTGTCTTTGCTTCCTTGGCAGAGAGTAGTTAAGCCCTCTGAGGAGCCTTGCAGACTGGCAAAGGAAATGTCAAATAATATTTGGTCAAAGAGCATTGCTAAAGTCCTCTAAGGAGCAGTCCTTGCTCTGTGCACTTCATCTCCACTACAAATACAGAACAGAAAAATAAGGGATGCTTTTAATTTAGGAAAATATCAGCTTTCAGACAAAGCTGGGGACATTTAGCATTGAAGTTACATTTAGGCTGAGATTTAAGATTTACAGACCAAATATTCACCTTCAAGCAGCTGTGTTTTAATGCAAGAGCAGAAATGAGCTAGCTGGGGCAGCAGACTGGAGTAATTCAGGATGAGCAGGCTTGATTTATGGCTGCTTCATGTGACCCGAGGCAAGTCTTCAGCACTATCACCATGGTCTCTCCAATCCAGCACAGTAAAACGTCAGTGCAGCAGACTCTCCAGTCCAACATAACTGCCTCAGTCCTTATACTTAGACAAAATCTAGGCAAGCGTTAAGGCATTCTGATAAATGAGATTGAACAATGACTTGTTCTCAGTATCTCAGTAAACGAAAGAACATCTATTTAGATGCCTAGTGAGAATTAAAATCCTCCAAGACAGAGTACATATTATGTCTGGAGAAAGATGATCACACGGTGAAAAGAAAACAAATCAGAAACACTCATCCCTCTGTGTTCCACCTTGATCAGTTTATTCTCTGGGTGCTGTTCCACCAAGTTGCTGATCTTTTCAGTTTTTTCCTCCATCACCTGAATGAAGATCTGTTCAAGCTTTTCTGGGATCCCTCAGCTTACCAAACACTTGGTGGAAATTTATTAAGGAGAAAACAGGAAAGTACAACACAAGTTCTGTCTCTAAAGTTCAGTTAAGGGTTTCGGTAAAGAAACTAATGGTGTTGAGTGAGTTTAATGTGACAGTCTGGTCTAGAATTATCTTAGAGGTATGGGCTGTCAGTAATTATTATGCTTTCTGGTGTGCGGTGCTACTAGTATAGAATTATTACTGTACCGAGACAGTTAAACATTTAAGAATCACATACTTGGGGTGATTACATAACAAATGGATTCTACTCTGGGGTCATGCTCTCTGATGTTGTCGCTTAGGGCTTCACAGGTTAATGATCATCCTCCATGCTGCAAAGTGACCTGGATGCCATGCTCAAAAATGAACTTAGAAATTATGATGACAGTCTGCACTAATTACTCCGCTTGCTTGCAACTTTGCTACACAGGCATTCTATATGCCTGGCTAAAAACAGCAGACAAACAAAATACTCTCGGCAGGAGCTGGCAAGAAAACAGCTAACAGAAGGCCAGGTGCAACCAGTACAGTCACCTCAAGGATAGAGCAACTCCTGTGACTCCAGGCAGGGGAGCTAAGAGGCCATGGCTTTTGTTCCTCTCCCTTGTCTTCCCCTGGATTCATAGCGGTAGCTGTGTGGCTCCCTGTGGCCAGAGGGAGAACGACTTTTCCCTTGGTGAGCAACGCTTGTGAAGATATTGTTTGTAGGGTCACTCTGAAATAATTCTAGGAGGTGGCATTATAATTATTGGCTGTTAAATGCTCCAATCTACTCCATATAAATCTTTGGAGTATGACTAATTAATATAATAACCTCCTCTAGCAGAGAACAAATTAACTGCCTGAATGCTCAAGACTTAAAAGATCAGAGAACAAGCTGGAAGGCACTGAAAAATTGAATTAGCAGATTCTCGGGCTGGCAGCCAGTAAGGGACTTCATGCACTCGTGTGTGGTTAGGGCTGAGATCCATGCCCCAGAGACCCAGGCACAGCCTCTGCCTTCTCTGGGATCACACCATGTGGGTACTTCCCTGAGGACAAGAAGGGAATGAGCTCCAGAACCCTGTATTTTTTTGACTAATATTCTGTGAATCAAATGATCTCATTAGGTAAATGTGCATCTGACCACAAAACGTTATTTTTAGCTGAAACTGAAAACCCACATTAGAGTTGCTTCCTTCTCTTCCTGAAACTCTACATCAATTTTCTGCAGAATTCCCCTGTTTTCTGATTAAAATAATCAGCAACTTGTGCGGCTGCTCTTGTATTTTAACTTCAAAGCCCATGCATGTTGTTTTTCCTTCAATTTTAGCAACGAGGTGAGCTTCTAACAGACACTAAACAAAAGCAATCAGTTTCTTAGAAACATGTAACCAAAAGTACAGGTACAAGAAAAGCTTTCTGCTTTCAAGTAAAAAAAAAAGAAAAATTACAGATCAGTGTGATGCACAAAATTACATTCCTATTTGGATTTTGACCACAGCGCTCCTAGGGTTCAGGTTGAGCTTGAAAGGTGACACTTAAACCACTAAAAACGAAACAAAATATTATAAGTTTCTGAGCTTCAGCCACTCCAAAACTGAATGAGGTACCACAGAAATCAGAGGTCGCATTCAGAAAATCTCAGTGACCTTAAATATTTGATTGTTGCACATCATGATAATTGTTGGTAACAATCCAAAGAATAGGACAAGACTTCAAGCCTGTCTTGGCCGTATCAGATCTGCAGTTGCTGTCTACCTGTTTTTTTCCAGTCAACCTAAATGAATTATGGCTGTGTTCTCCACTACAATTCAGCTTGGTTCTCCCTAGGCAAGAGGTCATTTTAATCTTATTAAGTCCCTTCCAGGGAGCTTCCTACAGTAATGAGGCTTGAGAATTGTGAGGAAAGAAGCAGGGTGGCCATCTTGCTCTTTAAGACTTAGGTCTAACCATTGTTTGTGGATTGTTTCAAATGAGGGCAGCTGAAAATACTCAAACCTATTTGAACATGAAAGCAAAATTTGCTAAACCGTATCTGTGAGGAGCTAAAAATCTAGGCTTTTTCCTCTAATTTGTCAGACTTGACTTCGTCTTCCAAAAATCAGTTCATGTTATGTCATTCTCCATTAGTCTAAAGAGCTGGTAAGTACCAGGTATTTTTCTCCACATGAAAGCTCTTATTCACCGTAATCATCTTACTGTAATATAAGTAGGACTGGGTTTCAGAATAATACATGACATTAAAAAAAACATGTACTTCAGTAAGCAGAAGGTTGTTATCCCATGGGTTTTTATCTCAAAGTTACACTTTCTAGTGTCTAGAGCACACAAATTGGTCAACTTTTCCCACAAGTGAGTCAATATTCATATAAACCCACTCATGGCCATCATCATGAAAGGACTGAGCACAGCCCTGCCAAAAAGGACCTGGGGGCACTGGTGGATGGCAAGCTGCACAGGAGCCACCAATGTGCCCTCACAGCTCAGAAAGCCAACCGGATCCTGGGCTGCACCAAAAGAAGCACAGCCAGCAGTGCAGGAGAGCTGGACCAGATGATCTAAAGGTGCCCTCCAACCCTAAGGATTCTATGACTCTATGTAGACTGTCTTGATTTTATAATCTTTTCATTAGCATTGTTTTTGGGAAACCCACATACCAGGGTGCCCCCTAGGACACTGGGTGTTAGAGGTGTACAGCAATAACAAAATTCAAGTCTTTTCTGTTTAAAATCAGGCAACTAATTTCTTGTAATCTGTGGTAAGGGGCACCAGGGAGCTGTGTATCACAACAAGGCACCAGAATACTCGTCTTCTGCCAAAAATTTTCACCTGTCTACTCATCTTCTGCTCAAACCACAAGGCTTTTTTCCTTAAGTCAATCACATAAGATATAACTGATATTCTTGGCACAGGAATTTATCTCCTGAAAGCAAAAGCTTGTTTTCAGCTCCTGCTTGCTTCTACATGGGCCTACAGTACGTCATGTACATGTACTTTCAAGAGCTCCAGCAAGTGACAGGTGCCACCTGTGCCACTGCTACACCTGTGCAGATCCTGCTAATGGAAAATGCTGTCTAATTCATCTATCTAATGCACTTGTAACCTTTAACATTACAAAATCTGAAAGCATGTTATGGGCAGTGCCCAAATAACACTAGGTATGTTAGTTTGAGATCATTATCTTACACAACCAGACTCCTTTGGTATCTGCTACCAAAAAAAAATCTGCAAAAAGTATTATTTGTAATAGACAGAGAAGTTTTATTTCTCCTTTTGGTACTAGGTAAGTAAAATGCAGGAGGCATAAAAGCTGAGGACTACACTCTGTCTTTGGCTAAACAGAATGGACTAGAATAGGGGTAGCGCTTGGTCTCTGTTGGCAGTCAGTTTAAAAAATGTGGTCAGTCAGTACATGCTTCAGCCAAACAAAATGCAGTGTGAATGAAGCAGGAGAGGGGCTGGCTGTCCTCCAAGCTCAAAAGCTGAATTATCAAGACTTTGCAGAAGCTGTTGTGTCATTAAAGAGAGTTCCAAAGTACATAAAGCCTTCCGTTTAAAGGCTTTGCTTCCTGTCTTTGCAGGCAGGGTGTCTTATAAGGTAGGAAATATTTGGCATCAACTCAATGCTATCCTACTGCCTTGCAGCCTCCTGAGTGTACAGAAGAGTACTGGATCCATGCAGAGCAGGCCTGAATCGCATGACATTTTGCAGGGGCAAGGACCCCAGACGAGGTGTGGAAGAAATGTGAGTCACTATTTGTGATTTTACTTCAATGTCTGAGGTGATTTCTGAGCATTTTTATCTCACAAGAGAAACAAGGGAGAATGAGAAGTATTAATTTTTTATGGATAGCATTTTTACCACATACTTTGAGGTTATTCAACCAATAAAATTTAATCTGAAAAGTTAGTACGCTATCTCCATTTCAAAAGAGAAGTTGAGGCATAATAAACTTGTATATTTCCATAGGAATGAGTTACCAACAGAGACCAGAAAAAAATTCAAAATTATCATAACAGATTTCTTGCTTGGACACAATTCCAGTTTTTTTTTCAGATTTTGATGAGGTGAGGACTTGAGGTTACTCAGGAATTCCACACTTTAAGTTCTATGCACCTCAACAAATCCGCCTCTTAATCAATTATCTTAATCAAAGATTATAAAAGATCCATACAAGCACCTTCTGCTCATAAAGTGAATGAATACCATTTTGAAAATCAGCATATATGTAGAGACATGTATAATACACAGGGCTGCTAATCTCACCTCAAAATTCAGAGCTAGGTAAGGATATGCTTCCAAAATGTCCAGCCATGTCTTTAAATATTCCCTTATAAGAAATGTATAAAGCAAATCTAGATTTAATAGAATTCACATGCTACTCTCCCTGAATGCAAAAATACATCTTTTTTGACTTTCCTCATTCTCCTCCTCATTCATTCCCACACTTAGCTTTTCTTTTTCTTCACTGCTACATGCACAAACTTAACTTCCTGCTTGTTGAATTTGTTTTCATTTCTTGTGCTTCCATTTTTTCCTTATTTTACAGGCTTGTTTTGCAAAACAGTGAAGGTGCAGCTGCTGCAATGCACTCCCCAAATGAAGCTTGCCTGCTGCATGTATTTCTTTCTCACTTGGCACTGAAATTCAACATTACCAAAAATGAAATGCAGCATGGCTTAAACCACTATAATTAATGCTTCTAAATTTTGTTCCTTTGCTGCCCTGTCCACAGATGTGCTGTGAAGGATGTCATCAATGAATGTGTTGTTTTCCCTCAAACCAAACCAGCAGAGGAAAAATACTAGGAAATTTTACTCTCTGGTACTTTTTTTCCTGGCATTTACCAACACGACATGAAGAAGTATGTTGGAATCATAGGCCATTATTCTAGTCTTTAGTATCTAAATATGTTGAACACGGATGTCTGGCAAAGATATTAAAATCAACAAGCATTCCAATTATCACAAATTTCCTTATTCCAAATACTGTCAACTGGAATATCCCAGAAAGACAGAGAGCAAGAGACAGAGAGCTTGGAAAGCATTCTTCCATCTCCAAGCCGACAGTGATTATTCTGAACTTTTTTTCACTACATTAAACTATTCTGGGAGTGTGTGGTTTCTTTTCTGTTTATTTTTTAAATCAAATCAACAGCTCTGCATACTTCATTAATCTCTGTTTACCCACTGATCTGTTCACTGTTTACCACACCAGTGATGTTTCTGAAGGAGGATGGTGCTATTGTCTAATATTCCAGCTTTTTTTGTTTGTTTGCTTGTTTCTTTTTCTTCTAAATATGAATTTTGACAATAAAATCAGCAGCTGGGGGAGGAGGGGAAGGGAAAAAAAAAAAAGAAATAGAAAAGTGTAATCTGTATACAATAATCTTTGGTAGATCTAAAATTTATGTTCATGTGACCAAGGGAGAAAAAGTGCAGAAAAAAACCAATACAGAATGAAGAATCAGCGTAATGACATGTAAGGACAAATGCAACTGAAATGTTTAAAAAGCAAAATACTTCTGTGATAAAAATGAACTAAAATAACAACCGATGTCTTGGTCACTCCAATTTTTACAATTCACCTTTCTGTCATTTAAAAGCATTCTTAAGATCTCTTACCTTGCCAATGTAAAGTGCTCAATTCCTTTTCTCCTGGTAGACTTCTGCACATTTCTGAGATCCTGGAACATGATTTCCTGAGTCTTTCACCTCTTTGAAGAGAAGAGACATGATTTTCCTCAGATATTTTTGTCATTATTTTAATTATTTTAATTATTTTAATATTTTGTATTGTTTTTATAATCTTTATGTTATATATCATCATTAGAATCTTCTGTGTTTATTTTCAGTATTTTTCCTATCAAGATTCTTTTCTGTTTCTGAACCAGTTTTTGAAATGTGCAGTTTTCTGATTGGATAACAAAAAGAAGATGTCACAAACGTAATGTAATTCGCATCAGTACTTCAAAATACCTATTTTGCCATCAGTATGTATAAACATACTCATTTGGACTCCCACAGTGAAGATTTAGCCATTTATCATTACTTACTTCCATGTAGAAAACAGAGAAGATATCTAAGAAAAAGCAGACAGCTACCTACTCTAATGTTCAGCATGTCATATTTAGTCAGACAACTGGGCCCTGGAATAAGGAAAGTGGTGCTCCTTAGGGCAGAAATGGCAGTTGTCTGACTGTGAACTTCAGAAGAATTTTAGGTTTCAGAATAAAATATTACAAGTAATAATAAAAAATAGAATATCAGCATCTATTTGGAAGCTTTCAAAGACCTGAAGTCAGTACACGTATTTCCGAGACCAGAAACAATCCTAAGATTTGCTTCTGAACTAGAAACTAGACTTGGAAACACAGTATTTTATGAATGTGGTCTCCATTTCAAACTTACAACATATTTTTGGAATCTCCCTGGATTCTCTTACATGGTGAGAACCAGAAAGAAAAAAGAATGCAAGCGGATTACCTACTGACAACTGTAATAACCACTTTTAGAAATGTGTTTTTCTCACATTGTCAAGTTCTTAAAAATAAGCATAATCAGAACTCAAATGATTGTCCTACTGGTTTTTGGAGCGTGACATTTTGACATTTCTATGATTCAAACCAGCATTCTTTAGAGAAACTTTCAAGTCAGACCCTACACGAAGCGCAGTGTTGAAAACCTCCTCTATTTCTGTGGCAATATAAATAGAGAGCCTCCCATTGATAACAGCGGGAATGCACGATGGCCTTTTGCTAATTTGGAAGTACAGAAGTCTGAAACAGATATATATTTGAAACCAGAAATGAAAGCTTACGGCCTGCATAATGCATGATGCGATATGTTTCATTTTTATTGCATAATGCCATCATTTATTTATCACGCTAATAACAGATGTGAGAATTTTCTTTTAAGGTAATTAAAAACAGTGGTAAAAGTGAACCATTTGACGGACACCATTATTCTTTAACAACCAAATTAAAATATCTTACACCCACTTGCTCATTATTTTCCTGTAATGAACAGATACCTACAGACAGCCGTGGAACTTTTATAATGGAAACAACAGGAGCTTTTGTGCCTCCCGATGAGGAAAGTAAAGGCTTAGATTCGTCTAAATGGTAGAATGTAAGAATATTTCATCAATAGCAATAGTGTGGCCTCTATGCCCCCAAACCTTTTCTCAGAGCCCAAAACAAAATGGGGAAAAGACTAATGAAGCCATGCGGAGATGCAATATGAGAAACTATCTGTCGTGTTGCTGTATTTGTAGGTCAAGAAATGCAACTGTTCCCTTTTGAACCCGATTCAGGCATTATACAGGTGTGCTGCAATTCCCTGCTGAATAATGAGTTCCTCCTTCCATCATGGCCATTTCCACATGGAGAGAGATTAAATTAAACTGAATGCAGAGCTGCACTCCAGTACTGCTCCAAAATTATCCCAAGTGGTATTAGGAAACACATCACGTACTTAAAATCTGCTATGCTAGGATATTACAGTGTCATTCTGTGTAATTTAACGCACCCATAACAATTACTGGTTCAACACTTGGATACAGATCCACACATCTCTGCTTTCCAACCTACATTCCTGAGTTTTTGACGAAGAATATCTGGACGAATCATTCTCCTCATTGATTTTAGAGAACAATTTTTAGGAGCCATTTTCTATTTTTTTACATAGCTTGAGGTGTTTAAACACTTCTCTGTATTACAGAGCCCTCCATTAAATTCTTCTAAATTATGTGGCTATCTGCTCAGAAGACTTACACATTTCTTAAATGGGGGGAACGTACTGTCCGTACAGGAAAACGTCTCTTCCTGACTAGCTATTGGCGCTTGTGGCTGATCCGCACACTGTGCGACGCGGACTGGGGCACGCGAGCGGAGCGACATTCCTACAAGTGAAGGCCCACGTGCTGTGCGGCAGGCTCAGCCTGTTCAGACGGCAAACCGAGGCGTCGCTTGCACACCGCGTCCGCCTCAGAAAATACGAACGAAAGCAAACGGAGACACGGAACCCCCACAGGCTGCCGAACGCCTCGCACGCTCCCACGGAGCACGGCCCACCCCATCCCGCCCGCTGCAACTTGCCGCGACCACGCCTCAGCGTACGAGCGCGAGGCGGTGCCACGCGAAAGGGGTGGGACGGGGAGGAGCGGCTCGAGCTCTCGCGATATCTCCTACAAGCCGCGTCCGGACGGTTGCGCCGGCCGTTACCCGGAGGGCGTCGTTTACGGCGGCACAGCCAATGGGAAGCGCGGAGCTCGATCGGGGCGGGCCAATGAGAGGAAGGGGCGGCGGGTTCAAACCGCGCCGATGCGGCGGGCGGCCGGCAGCTCGCGGTGCGGTAGCGCCATGCCCAGCCGGCCCGAGGACTACGAGGTGCTGCTCACCATCGGCGCCGGCTCCTACGGCAAGTGCCGCAAGGTGCGGCGTAAGGCTGACGGCAAGGTGAGGCGACAGCCGGGTGCACCCGGGAGCGGCGGGGGCACTGACGGCTCTTCGTCCTGCCTTTAGTCGCTCGCTGCACATTTTCGCTTTTGTAGATCTTGGTATGGAAGGAGCTCGACTACGGCTCCATGTCGGAGGCGGAGAAGCAGATGCTCGTTTCGGAGGTGAATCTGCTCCGCGAGCTGCGGCACCCCAACATCGTCCGCTACCACGACCGCATCATCGACCGGAGCAGCACCACCCTCTACATCGTGATGGAGTACTGCGACGGCGGCGACCTGGCCAGCGTCATCGCGCGCTGCACCAGGGAGAGGTGTGCTGCGGCCGCAGGGGGAGGGCGAGATCCGAGGGGGCGGGGGGTGGCGTGCGTCGACGTTGTCGTTGACAAAGGCGCCTCTTCCACAGACACTACTTGGAAGAGAGCTTTGTTCTCCGAGTGTTGACTCAGTTGACGTTGGCCTTGAAGGAATGCCATAGACGGAGTGACGGCGGAGTCACTGTGCACCGGGACTTAAAACCAGCAAATGTCTTCCTAGATGGCAAGCAGAATGTGAAACTTGGCGATTTTGGACTGGCTCGAATTCTGCATCACGACACCAGCTTTGCCAAAACTTTTGTTGGAACCCCGTACTATATGTCTCCAGTAAGACCTCTGTTCTGTTCCTTTTCTTCCCTTTAAGGTCTGTTTTCTGCAGTGTTGGTTTCACGCTCTGTTAATGCTTTGGAGGATTTAAAGAGGAGTTGCTTGTCTTAAATGCAGGTGACTCACAAAGTGTGTATGTGTTTAGAAACAAGATTGTTTTGCAGAAAGTTAGCTTAGTTCTATATACTTGAACTATTATTAAGGTATGTTGGAGTATCTTTCTTTGTGAAAGAAATGGAGATGCTAGAGCATTCTTCTGTTTTATGGTGTTAATGTAAAGAGTTTATTAAACCACCTGCTGAGGTTTCAATTTGTATTAGAAATGAGCAAGTTATTTCCCCGATACAATGATTTGTTTGTTTCTTTCTTTTGTGGGAGTAATAATAATGCTGACTGAAATATGGGGTTGTGTCCATTGAGGACTGATGCAGCACTTTAGTCTGTAGTTACTGCAATAGTTGTTATTTAGTTGTTAGTTATTGCAGTAACTAAAGACCCTGCTAGTAAGAATTGCTATGGAGGTAAACGAAAAAAGAACCTTAGAAGCAACCCCAGAAGCCAGAGTTAAATTCAGATTTGAACAGGAGGAGATGATTCTGGAATATGAGAAAAATATCTCAGTTAATAAACTTAAGATTTGTCTCTTTCTTTAGGAGCAAATTAACCACATGTCATACAATGAGAAATCGGATATCTGGTCTCTAGGATGTCTTCTATATGAGTTATGTGCTCTCACGTAAGTATAGTAGTGTGCTAATTAATTTAGAAGCGTAACTCTTAATGTGCATGTGATCGCTCTTCATATAAATAGTACCTTAAAGGATTTAGGGACAAGTTCTAGGTCTTTATTTCTATATTAAACTTGACGGTAGGTAACCAATCTTTGCTGCTTATTTCTTAATCTGACACTTTAATGAAAATAAGTCCTATAAAACTGGTGAGATAATTCAAGAAAAATACTATTTTTCAGGCCCCCATTTACAGCTTACAACCAGAAGGAGTTGGCAGAAAAGATAAGGGAGGGGAAGTTCAGACGAATACCGTATCGTTACTCAGAGCAGTTGAATGAACTTCTCAAGCAGATGCTGAACTTGAAGGTAAGAATTAGTTCTTAATTTTCTGCCTATGATAAGAGCTAGTACTGAAGTACTGGTTTTCCTCCTCAGTTTATGAAACTAATCTGCAGTAGTGGTGGCCACCATCTTGTCACCAGCAATATTACCTATGTAGGAAGGTGGGAAAAACTACTTTGAGTACACTTTAAAAAAAGAAAAAAGAGGTGGGTGAGCAGCATCAGCTGCTCAAGAGTTATTCTAGGTTAATAGGGTGCAAAATAGTGTCTCAGTATGGCCTACTGGAATTATCTAACAGCATGCTTCAAGGTCTAACTTCAGGGTTAAAATTGTTCCACCAAGTTGTATAATGAACCTAAATCTCTAACAGGTGTGGATTCTTCAAGTTCCCCACACACTTAGCTCTGAAAGGAATAGATACCTGTGCTGGGACAGCCAGACTTGTGGCTTCTGGTGCTGAAGGCTGGTAGCAGCCTCCTACCTCAGTTTTGTCTGGTTAAATTAGTACAGCATGCCAGCCCTTAGCTGTTGCCCTTTCCACACTTTTTTTTAAATCAGCTTCTCCTTCACTATAAAGCACATCAGCTGGTTTCCAAGCAAGATGCATCCCCAGGTGGGAATACCCAGCAATAGTTTTTTCTTGATTGCAGCTGAGGGTTACTGGTAACTTCTCTCCTTCAGGATTACTGCCGACCTTCTGTTGAAGACATTCTGCAGCACCCCTTGATAGCAGACTTAGTGGCAGAAGAGCAGAGAAAAAATTCTGATAAAAGAGGCCGGAGATCAGGAGAGCCAGAGAGGGTGCAGCATTTGGATGCTCCAGTGAATGAACTGAAGCTGAAGGAGCAACAACTACACGAAAGAGAGCAAGCCATTAAGGACAGAGAGCAACGATTGGAGCGTATGATATTTCCCTTTGGGAAGGGGGTGGCAATGGGACTCCAATTTAAAAGAACACGTGCTGATGATGGAAATGTAGACTGTTTTCAAAACTCATTTTAATGCTCTAGACTATCGTACTGCTATAGTTGCTGCTAGAATTCTGTCCAAAGACTAAAACAAGAATGCTTGGCCTTAAATAATCTATACTACTTTGTTCTTCTTTTCAATTGCTAGGATGTACTTAGCAGTTCAGAAATGTAAGCCTGGTATGTGAAGAATATTAAAAATGAGCAGTAATCAGCAAAGTGTGCAGAAAACCAGGGTCCAAATACATTGCTCTGTGCAGTGTAGGCTGATGTCCTCCATGTATTTTGTGCAGATAAGCACCAGCTACTTTATGCTTGCCTTAGGCTATATATATTGGAGTAAAATATACCTGAGTGAACGGTCAGCTGCTTTCATAGAAGCTGCATTCTACAGGTAACTTACATGTGAAACAGTGTAGGTGGCTGAGATGTTAGGACTTCCTGGCTACATATAATACTTCATTACATACATACAGGCTCTGCTATGTAGGTTTTTAACTACATATATGATTTTCGGAGCCTAAATAACAGCTGCTGTTGTAAAATAAGATGCTAGGTCATAGCTGACTTTTTAACTGGCATCTACGTACTCAGACGTGGTGTCTTGTTTGCCATGAGATAATGTTCAGAACAGAAATCTGCTGTAGCTTCACTGTGGCACATCACTTTTTTTCCCGAAGAAAAACAATCTACCCACTTAAGAGCACTTGTTTTTTTGATGTATTGGTAAAGCTTGTATCTGCATAGCTGTTACCTTGCTTTGTTTAGAGATACAGAACCAGAACATAAGAACATTTGGCAGGCTGTCTTTTTTCACAAGAAAATGTACCATGCACGATCCCTCTAACTTTAATGTTTACATTCAAACATTACATACTACCCTATTTCTATTTCCAGAGAGAGAACGGGAACTCTGTATTCGAGAGAGGCTGGCAGAGGACAAACTTGCTAGGTATTTTACTAACCTATAACTGCCTTGATTAGAAGCTCTACAGCCTTACAGTGCAAAAGCTTAAACTTCCTTTTTTCAAAACAGAGCTGAAAAATTGATGAGGAACTACAGTCTCTACAAACAGCAGAGGACATTATCTACTGCAGATGGTCCAGGTATGCACGCATACGAGGAGCCTCTTGCACTGATAGATGTAGGCTGGTATGACCAGAAGAATGCTCGTGATCAACGTGCTGTATGTAGTCCCATTGTAGCAATACAAAACCCTATTATCTCTGCCTGGGAAGAGACTCTTGATTTTCTGCTTCGCAGGAAGATCTGAACAATGCTCACTTATCAGTGTGAGTTACCACTGTCAGCCTTACAGTTTTTTGTTTTGCAAATTAGGTTCTTGTGATGAACCAACAAAATGCTGACTTGTAATCCAAACCTCAGAGTTGTATTTATTTTAGTTGTCCTCTTACGGACCTTTGATATAGTAAATTTCAATAAAAATTCAAATGCCTAATTACTTCATCTCTAGTTTCAACTTCTAAAGCCTTCAGAATAGGAACTGCTATTTGTTGTAGGTCACCCAGCTGTGATCACTGCCTCACTTAGGCTCAGAAGAAAACAGTATTATTAATTCAGTTTAATTCACAAGAACCAAAAACCATGTTTGACAATGTGCTATAATACTTGACTACTTACATCTGTTTTACAAGATCTATTAGCTCACAAGTGTTTGAGCCTTACTTTTGGCCTTGGTAATATTCAAATCTTCCCTGTAATAACTGATAGCATCTACTGCTCATTGCACTTTGATAGTGTAAATGACTGAAGTACTTGATACTACTTTGCTTTATGTTAGGGAGAGCAACAGTAAAAAATATTGGATGGGGATATTAAACACTGGTTCTGAAGTATTACTAGAACAAAGAAGGATGAATAGCCCTTAAAATGAAGCAAAAAAATCTTCATTTAGTTTTAGTTGGAGAGAAAGCAAGATGTGCA